GGCTCCCTGCTCAGTGGGGAGTCTGCTTCTCCCTCTGACCCTCCCCCCTCTCATGTGCTCTCTCTCTCTCTCATTCTCTCTCTCAAATAAATAAAATCTTAAAAAAAAAAAAAAAGGTGGCTAAATCAGGAATTAATTTTATGATGTAGTCTGAAACTTGCAATCAGCTTGAAAATTGTACATTACTCCAATTTCCAACCCATAATTACATATATTCCCAAATTAACAAAACAAGACAAAACAATCCTGGGGCTCCCCAAATTACTTGGCTAAGAAAATAAAAACAAATGCAACAAATATGTTACTCCACAAACTCAGGCTCTTAGAACTTCAGACCACAAGAAATTCAAAAAGCTATCAAGAACATCTATAGAAACTTAATTTATCACTGATTTCTGGGGATCCTCTTATTTCTAGAATCAGTATTTCACGAATTCTTGACCTTTCTGACTTCTCAGGGGCAAACAAGCTAGTGCACATGAAAGTCCTTACATATAAACATACCTATGAATTTAAGGCATATATTACTCCCTTATGTTCTTTTAATTAATTAAAATAACTAAACACCAAAGTGTTAAAGACTCTATATTCACATACAAACGTGATTCTTTAAATGAGGATGAAATTACATAAAAACTATGAGTAAAGAAGGATATTTTCATTTGTACCTTTTCTGGAATCTCAAATTCTTAACAACGCCAATTTATTTTTTACTTTTAATATCAACAATTTACCAATTTAAAAGTCATATAAAATGTTAAACACTGGGGCACCTGGGTGGCTCAGTCGTTGGGCATCTGCCTTCAGCTCAGGTCATGATCCCAGGGTCCTGGGATCGAGCCCCGAGTCGGGCTCCCTGCTCTGTGGGAAGCCTGCTTCTCCCTCTCCCACTCCCCCTGCTTGTGTTCCCTCTCTCGCTATCTCTCTCTCTGTCAAATAAATAAATAGAATCTTTAAAAAAAAAAAAAAAGTTAAACATTACCATCTTAACCTTTGCTTACCCAATATCCGGTCAAGTCAGGTCCATCAGAACACCCAATTCACCGTGCTCACCATTTCATGAGATTCCATAAACAGAAAAGTTGCCTAAAATGTCCCCAAAGCCAGAGCACCTGGGTGGCTCAGATGGTTGGGCGCCTGCCTTCGGCTCCGGTCATGATCCCAGGGTCCTGGGATCGAGTCCCGCATCGGGCTCCCTGCTCCTTGGGAGCCTGCTTCTCTCTCTCTCTCTCTCTCATGAATAAATAAATAAAATCTTTAAAAAAAAAAAAAAATGTCCCCAAAGCCAGATCTCGAAAAAAGCACCTGGACTATTCCAAACCTGACAGTTTACCAACCCTCTTTCAGATTCCCCATCAAATATCTAAAGAAGACCCTTGACCCATCACTGTTTCATAGCACCTTCTTTCATCTCCTTGAAAACAGCACAACTTGACATCATTACTTGTTCCCTTGTGCCTTAGCTGTCCACTAGAATATAAGAGCCATAAAAAGGCACAATGCACATGGTGCCCCTGGGAGCTACACATCGGTGGCTCTGGCTATACTTTCATCTCCTTTGTTCTCGTTGTACCCCCAGGGCCTCACAAAGCTTGGCACAAGACAAACGTGCGTAAGGAAAAATAACCCCAACTATTCTCTAGCCCCAACTTACTACCTTACTTCCCATGTTCTCCTTTAGTCCCCACTTCCTCCTCTTTCCCAGCTCTTATTCCATATTTTACTTTCCTTGTCCTGGATCTTGTCTTCCCTTGGTTATTTCATCTTCTGATTCTTCTCTTCCCCCAAATGTTGCCTAGTAAACCACCACCCAGCTTGGGCCTCTCTCTAATGTTCCTCTTCTCTGGTTCCCAGCCTGATTCCACTGCAGGCTTCCTATTCCTGTCTCAGCTCTAATGTTATCTCTTCAACCATGTGACTCAATTTACCCAGGACAGTCCTGGTTTATGCTAGTTGTCCTAGACTCATTATTAATAGTGCCCCTTTTTACTCTTGAAAGTGTCCCCATTTGGACAATAAGTTTTATGGTCACCTATCTCAGAATAATCTCTGGACAAAAAATCTCTGCTGTCATACTCTTTTAACAAAGATGACATACCTATTTTCAAGTATCTTATTTAAATGTTAATTTAATGTCTCCAACTACTAAAATATAAGCTCCATAAGAACATGGGAGTTTATGAAGATTTTCAGCTCATCCACTACTGTCTCCATAGCACCTAAAAGAGCACCTGATACTCTGTAGGCACCCGGCATTTGGAATCACAATGGCTCTCTCCGCATTTCTGTGTAATACACAGATTAGCAGAGATTCTAAAAGTCCAGACTGGGGACACGAGCAGTCTACTCCAAGCAACAAACAGGGTTCTGGATTCCTCTGAGTTAGCGTAAATTCATTTAAGGTTTGGGTATATGGATGATACTTTCATGTAAGGAATTGAGTTAATGGGAGTTAAAACAGTATTACTTTATACTAAAGTAACTAGTTGATATGTTCATTACTCTAGATAAACTCTTTGCTCTTTCACTAAATTGGTTAACATGAATATTTATATAAATATTCAAGACAAAAAATGCCAATATAAAGCAGTGATGAAAAGAGTTGTTGCTCATGTTTATATTAAGTAGAGCACTGATAAAAAAGAAACTAGATTTCTGGGGCGCCTGGGCGGCACCTGGGTGGCTCAGTCAGTTAAATGTCAGACTCTTGGTTTTGACTCAGGTCATCATCTCAGGGTCCTGAGACTGAGCCCCACATTGGACTCCACACTCAGCATGGAGTCTGCTTGAGATTCTCTCCCTTTCCCTCTGCCCCACTCCCGCTCTCTCTCTCTCAAATAAATAAATAAAATCTTAAAAAAAAAAAAGAAACTAAATTTGTACAATTATCTTGCTGGGTATAATAATTACTCTAAAAAGACTCAAGAAAATATTAATCTAGTAAGCCAAAACTATATATTAAATTAAACAAACATGTGAAAAAAGGAAAATCAGGGGCGGCTGGGTGGCTCAGTCAGTTAAGTGTCTGTCTTTGGCTCAGGTCATGGTCTCAGGGTCCTGGGATTAAGCCCCAGGTCGGGCTTCCTATTCCACAGGGAGTCTGCCTTCTCCCTCTGCCCCTCCTCTGCTCTCTCTCTCTCTCAAATAAATAAAATCTTAAAAAAAAAAAAAAAGGAAAATTAAAGTAAGCTGACATTTCAATTTGAGGGTGACAATCCAAAAGCCAAAGGCCAAAGTCAAATATTCTCTTTTT